GTATGTATGTATGTATGTGTGTATGTGTGTATGCATGTATGTGCATGTATGTATGCCTGTGTATGTATGTATGTATGTATGTATGTATGTATGTATGTATGTATGAATGTATGCATGCATGTATGTATGCACGTATGTATTTATGTGTGTATATATATCTGTATATATGTATCGAAGTACATATATACATATATGAAGATATACACAGAGAGGAGAGAGAGAGAGAGAGAGAGAGAGATGAGAGCGATGTGTAGTGACCAGGAATGTGCTAACAGTGTATTTTCAGCTCGTGGACTTATCCACCCGGTCACAGAGATTAAATGTTCCAGGTCTAATACAGCACTGAAGCTGGCTTAGTCAATGTCTGGATATTTCACAGTGTGCCTTCGATTTATCCTTGCTGGTGCTATCCTACGAAATATTATTCAGCACTGTTCTTATTGCCCGGTATTTCTCTATTGGACCACGAAAACTACAGCCCCGGCTACTTCAACCAAATCCTACACCCAACACCCCACATGCTTCGTTTATATGGACCTACCAAAAAGCAGCCTCCTCGATGGGCTCCAGCAAGCGATTTGAGCCGATAATGTCCTGCCGGGGTACGACGCGTGGGTAGACTGCTTTGAGATCTCCTTCGAAAGATTCCTTTCATGGACCCATTAAGAACCGTTTTGTGCGCATGGTTCCTGCGAGGGTTTACGCCTCAGGATTTGGGGTTGCAGCGCTCGAAAGTGTTTCAAGCTTGTGCACGAAACCTTCAAGCCATCCCAAGCCCAGATCGTGATTATGACAGAGGCAACATGCTTCAGTATCTTAAAGTGCAAGACGCCTTTAACTCCAACCCCTGAAGCTGAAGCCAGCAATTTGTGAGAGGCCAGGGTAGGATGTTCGGGGAGATTGTCGTATCAGTACGGGATACCCTAAGTCCCTAAAATTGCTAGTTGTTGCACCACATTGTGATCTCAGTCCCCTGCGATCCACAACCAGAGTTTTCGCTGAGAAGGTATCGAATCATCATCCGGATCCAGATTGGTGTTGGGGTTTCGTGTTTAGAGTGCAGGCTTTCGGGCTTAGTTTAACAGGGTTCCGTGTTTCAGCTCCTGGAAAACCTACACGAGTTCTGAGATAAGACCTTTGAGACCCTAATCTCCTTTAGTCTGCATTAATGTAAGGGCCTTAATAGTTAGAGTAGGTTTCTGGGGTATATTATACTCTCATGATAATAAAGGAACCGCCAAAACCCTATTCTAATTAGAATTAGGGACACTAAGAACCCCGATGTGGGGTTTAGGGTTTAGGGTTTAGGGGGGACACTAAGAACCCCGATGTGTGCTTCCTCGAGGTACTCGAGCAGGCCATCTTCATGCGGGGACTGAGCCTTCCCACAGGCTGGCAGAGCTCAGTGGTGTCATATAGTATAGGGGCCTTAATAATTAGAATGGGGTTTTGGGTCCCATTATACTATAAGTATAATAGGGAGCCCCCAAAATAGTATAGATAGATATTTAGGCCCCTATATCAGGGGCCGCAGCAATTCGAAGACGCAATCGAGGGCATAGTAAGATATGCTTACCTAAAGGAGCCCTAAGGCAGGGTAGTGATAATTGCGAAAGCTTCCATATCAAGGGTCTCGAAAATTGGGGATTTCAGCGTAAGAGACTAAAGTGCGGTTGCAGGGCTGCACGGCGTTTGGCTTTAAAGTGTCGCTTCAGGGCCTTGGCCACCAAGCGCTTCGAGTAAAAACAGCGCTTGCAACGATACTGCGGTATATTTACAGTCAGGAACTTCAAGTAATCATTTGGGCCAAAAATCCTTCAGGGGTCTGCAATTATTCGGGTTGTAAGTGCGGAACCCAGTAAGGGTAATTCTACCCCTCTCATAAGCCGCTTGCTAGGTCTTCCGATGATTGAAATACACTCCGACATGCTCGGTTTAGGGTTTACCTGCAGTCTCCGTCTAGGGTTTACCTACAGTCTCCGTTGTAGTTTCTTGTTTTGTTAACCAATTTTATGGCTAAGATCCTATAACATAGATTTGGTTAACCAAAAAACAGGAACTACAATGGAGACTATAACCAAAAAAGGAAACTACAATGGAGACGATAGGTAAAAACTTTAGAACTTTAGATGCAAAACTATAATTCGCCGAATACACCTTCAACAACATGAAACCTGAGTTTGCGTACATAACATACAACAGCCCGGTGTTAGCATACACTTACACTATAGGGACTAATACTATGTATTCAGCCGCCTATATTACCAGAACCTACGCTATGAAGCTTTACCCAGAACCCTACCCTAAACCCTAAACCCTAAACCCCTAAACCCTAACAGCCCTATGCCCCCCGAACGACATCTGCCTTCGGCTTCATGAGAGAGATTTGCTCGACTTCGCCTGCAACGGTTTAGGGTTTAGGGTTTAGGGCATCGGCCGCTCTTTTTTCCAAACTTTGGGCCCCTTGTGGCAAGATTAGGCTTTAGGGTTTAGGGTTTAAGGTTTAGGGCAGCCAGCAGAAGCATCCGGGGGTTCCGTTCCAGTCTTTACGGCTTAGGATGTATGGTGATTACTTTCTACTTGGGCATGATGCCGCGCAGCAGAGCTTGCGCCGAAATGCTAGAAACGCTCCTCTCACCCTTCAAATACTTTGGGGTCTAAAGTCTGCAAATAGTACCTACTTTAGGCTATCTGGAGCCCCAGGGAACGGCCAGGGGTACTGACAAGGAAGCTCTCTGTCACCTGATGAAGACCCGAGCTCGAATAAGAAAAAAACATACCTTCAGAATCAAGAGACCCGAAACCGAAAGCCCTATGTAAGCCTCAAGCCCGTAACCTCAAAAAAGCCCTGTGACATACGGAAATCGCGACAAGGAGCGCCTAAAACTGTCGGTTGTTTGAGGTTCAGGTCCAGGTAAGCCCTGCTGAGTACCCTACAAACGCCTATGGGCCAAACAAAAACCTGAAACACCTGTGGCAAACCTCGGCACTGCTCTGCCTTGCAGAATCAAGAAACGGTTGTGATCCAAGTCCACCCCGCGCTTGCGGAGAAGAGCAACGACCTCTCTTTGCTCAGGCTTGAAGGGTTTAGGGTTTTGGGCTTGGGAATTCGGGTTTGGGGGCCGTTTGGGGCTTACCTACAGTCTCCATTGTTGTGGTTAACCAGTTTTATGGTTGTAGGATCCCAGAACAGAAATGTGGTTAGCCAAAAAAGGAACTACAATGGAGACTAGAGGTAGGATTCAGGCTTAGAGTCTTAGAGTTCATAAGCTCAAAGGCTCAGAGGCTCAGGCTCTTGGAAGTCCTTGATTTCGGGGTTTAGGGGTTTAGGGTTTAGGGGCTTAGGGTTTAGGGTTTAGGGTTTAGGGATTTAGGGTTTAGGTTTTAGGGCTTTACCGGGCATCGCTCTGGGTACTGTAGCTAAGTTCTAAATAGCAGCAAGCATACTTGTAATTATAAGGCCACTGTTGCTCGACACTTCCTAAGTCCCCTGATCGTTCCAGTGCTTTGCAGTTGAGGCCTTAGCAGAGGTCTTAGGATGTTTCAGAGTTTGGGATGTGCTGCTGCAAGGCTAGAATTGGTAGATATGTGGTTCACATGTTCCATGCACCGTGCGAAGGCTTAAGAACTTACTCAGACCTGAAGCTGCAAACAGTAGAGAGGGAGTCGCTAACTCTTCTGCAACGCGGCTCAGCGGATGAGTTAAGGTTCAGTCACGCCCACGGGGCATCGCGCGCGCGCACAGTCACACTCACACTCACCCTACAATAGGGATGAACAAAGCTCAACCGTACATATCGGAAGGACCCGATGCCTTATTTTTCATCCATTCAATGAAACTCATCATACCCGGCACACTCTGTGGAAGGAGCATTCCATCAGGCTTCCAGGTAAGCAGCTTTGGAGGACCCCAAGCCCCAACGCCCTGAACCCGGCATGCTCTCATGAACCTTAAACCCTAAACCTTGAATCCCCCACCTTGAAGACCTCAAAGCCCCAACCCCAAACCCTAATGCTTCAACCCTAAGCACTAGAAGCCTTAAAACACTAAGCCTTAAACTCTTAATCTATTGAGCCCGAAACCTTAAGCTTCAAACCCTAAGCCCTAAACCCTCCTGAACCTCAAGTTTCAACCCTAAACACTTGAAGCCTTAAAGCACTAAGCCTTTAACTCCTAATCCCTTGAGCCCGAAACCTTAGCCTTCGAACCCTGAGCCACGGCCGCCTCGGTGAAGTTGCTTCCCTTTCCATCGATGTAGTACTTGGACTGATTGTTCTTGAACGCCTGCGAGCGGTTGAGAGTTTCGGGTTTAGGGTTCAGGGCTTGGGGTGCAAGGAAGACTCGAAAAGCCCGGGCAGGCCAGCGTCCTCCGAAAGAACCCCCAGCGCTAGGCGAACCCTAATTAAATCCCGGTCCCAAACCCCAAACGCTCGCACTCTTCAGCCCTTAACCCCGTGAAGCCCCAAAACCCACGCCCTGAAACAGCCAAACCCTAAACCCTGAACCTCACACCCTGAAGCAGTCAAACCCTAAACCCTAAACCCCACACCCTAAAATCCTTCAACCCTCAACCCCTTTCAACTCACACCCACCCTGGGAGGCCTCGCGGGTCACACTGAAGACGGAGCCCTTCACAACTTCATAGTCTTCCGGGCCATCTCCTCAACCAGCAATGGGGGTTTATAGGGTTTAGGGGAACCAGGAAGAGATGGGAGAAGTGGGCTCTCACAGATTCGATGCCTTACTATCCCTGTTCGTACTACATGCTCATCTAGTGAATCTTAGCATCACTGTCTAGGTACCCCAATAGCGACTGAAGAATAAGGGTACAGCGCCCGTCGCTGTACCCTTTTTCCTACTGGTTGGCTTGAATAAGGGAACTCAAAAGAAAACGGGCAAAAGGGTACTACTGGGGAACCTGCTTAGAGGTTCATGGGACTTACTAAGTACAGTTATAGGTACCCTAATTGGATTTACAAGTATAGTTACCTGTTTTATAACCCTTATTGCTAAGTCCCATGAGCCTTTAAGTAGCTGTTGTCGCACTGACCACGCCTTCCAGTCGCGCTTCTTTGTGTTTGTGGTTATTGCGCGCTACCTTCAGGAAAGAAGCAGTGTCACTGTGAGCAAAGTAGGCCTCAACCTTCAACCAAGCAGGGGCCTTTCTGATGACTTTTCGTTTTTTTGTTTGTTTTTATCAGGGGCCTTGACAACTAGAATAGAGTTTGGGGTACTTTATACTATAACTATAGTAAGGAACCCCTCAAAACTAGTATAGGTAATTATAAAGTATAGTAGGAAGATAGGCCTGGGCCAATGCATAACTTCACGACTTCAGCAGGCACACAGCTCCTGTGTCGACGATGTCCTGGAAGGTTACCTCCACCTGTGCTTGATATTCCTACTGTGGGTGGTGCGACGAGGCCTTTCATGCTATAGAAACTTGTGAAGGCTTCCGCGATTGCACGGCCAGGCCATTTTACAGGACACCTCCGAGCCTGGCTCAGGCTAGGCAAAAAGAAGCAGCGTATGTTTGCTTTAGGGTTTTGTTGCGTTGACGGTTCAGGGTTTTTACTTTCGCCAGAGATTGTCCGCAGCTGTTTTGGGTTCGACAGCCTCATAATTAACCCCAAGCCAATGACCCAACGTCCCTAAGCTGATCTGACCTGTTCGCCCGAAGCCAAACACTGAGCCTTGAGCCCTCCTGAACCCGAAGGCTCAAAATAGCCCAAAAGCCTGATCTAGTATGGTCTTTTGGGCCCAAAAGCCTGAACATATGAGTCTTTAGAGCCCTCCTAAACCTAAATAGTTAAAGAAACCCCTCAGCTTCAGCGGTCGGATGTCATCGGGACTCCCTTTATTGTTTATTGGGCTAAGCGTTTAAAAGCTATACGGCTTAGAGGATTTAGTATACGGTTTACCCAGCTCACGGACATGGAAAGTTGATGCAACAGAGCTCGCAGAGGCGCACGAAAGAGAACTGATCCCCTAAACCCTAACGAACCCCAAAATGTTCAGGGTTTAGGGTTTAGGGGTTTAGGTCAGGCTCTTGAAAACACTGAACCCCTACACCCCACAAATAACTCCAAGCCCCTAAACACTAAACCCCTCAAACCTAAACCCTACTAAACCATGCTTCCTGAAGTCCGAGACCGGGACCCGGATCTTCCAAAATCCCTCAATTAAGGAAAAACAGTTATAGTAGAACCCCTAAATATGAAAAAATGAGGTAAACTAGAGTAGAATACCTCGTATGATTTTCAGGCAAATGTATAAGGTCTATGACGTAACTGAGAGATTTTGGAAGATCTGATTTCCTGAACCCTAAATCTCGGACCCCATACCCCAAACCCTCTACACCCCAAAACCCCCAAAAATCT